TGTAATAAATATTGTTAGAAATAAATATAATTAAAAATGAAACTAACTATTTTATTGCACAAAATAATTCTAAAGTTACCTAATACTTTGCTTTCTTAGTATAAATGCCGATGTTTTTTCATTCAATATTAGAAATAAAACTGTAGTTAATTTAAATTCAATTTGAATTACTTTTGTAAACGTGTAATACAAGAAGTCAACATACGTCCTTTCATCCTGTAAATTAAGATTAATAGTTGGTTTAATTCCGCTTATAGTATATTCGCTGATACGCGCTTTATCCTTTAGTGAACTTATTATAAACAGCAATTATTGACACAATATATCTGTAATAAGTATGTGAATAAGACGCCTGTGCCTGTTGTACTTTCACACGCCATACTATGTAATTTTAACATCGACATTCGATACATAGCGAAGTTCACGATTTATCGAAAATTGCTTTTATGGATATGATCGCAAAAAAGTTGTAATATCGTGATAGTGCTTAGTTTCATGGGAATATATTTTGTTGTTACACAATATTCAATATTACTATCATTTTAAGATCTACAAATATAAGGTCATGGTGGTGGTGTTGTTCATGTACTTATATTATTTTAAGCATCTATTCCTTTGGTAATGTTCCCCAAAAATGTTCAGTGATTTATACTTAATTTGGTGGTTTTTGGAACTGAATATGATTGAGATCTGGTTAGCAATAAATTTCTACTGAGCGTTATGTGTTTCCTTTTATTTACCCCAATAAACATTTGTGGCATAGGTTATCGTTATCCACTACGCCTACATTGGCGAAGGGTTGAGTTGAGTGAGTATTGCCCACTCACTACAGGGTAAAATATAAGGTAAATTGAACAGCCTCCTTTTAAATATATTATAAAGCGAATTTTCACTTTTGTTTTACTGTATAACAAAATTGTGAAAATCTATCTGCTTTGTCAAATTTCGCGACGCGGGCGGATCCTATTCAAAACAAAATATTATATTCTTTATTTCGATCGCATTACCTTGACCACATGCCACTAGACGAAAGGGCTACGTCGCTATAGACGACGAGACCTGGCTAGTGCACTATCGACTTACAGAATGACTTTCAAAGCTATTCTTTTAATCTCCTTATAAACTGGTTTAAGGCTTATGAATGAAAATCACTTTATATTACTGCATTATGGCGGCAGAAAGTTGCAGTAAGATTAAAAAAATAAATTTTAATAGGAATAATTTATTCCTTCTACATATAATAAAGGACATCGCCGAAAATGGCCCCAATACCATTAAATATTAATACTTCAATAATAATTACTAATTTATTTATTAAATTGGAAAAATTAATATTTAAAAATACTTTAGCAGCAACATTTTTATTCGCAAATATTCACATTCAATATACTTACATTCTATTGAGTCAGATGGATGTAATTTACACGTCAGATCAAGAATATCATTTATTTTTATTAGATAACCTTTAAATCACCGAACACAAAAACATTAAATTAAATTGACCGAAAATAAACTTAAATTTACTAAAAGCGCCATCTCTTGGTGATTTTCCAACTAAAACATAAGGACAAAAACTGAATATTATACAAACTAAATTCATTAACTGTTGATAATTCACTCTTGTTTATTCAGAAAGATTGATATTCATACGACATATCCTAAAAACTACTTTGTTTCTATTACATTACCTTTATTTTTCTCGTAAACATATTAACATCGTGTCATTTATGTATTTAAGGCGCCATCTTTTGATGTAAACCATCAAAAAGCTATAGGTTTTTTTAATTTTAAGCTTATCAATAGGTATATTATTTAACTATTAGAATGATTTATTTGTCTATTGATTGACTTAGAAACTTTTACAAATCGCAACGAAAAACCGACTTTCTTAAAGTTGAGTTTTTTTGCGTCAACAATATAGACATCAATATCATATCATGTACTTAGAGTGCCATCTCTTGGTGGTTTTCCAAACAAATTATAACCTCAAAATGAAATATATTTTGCGTGATAATAAATTCTAAAACTCGGTCGCGGTATAATAATACATAATGAGAATTAGTTAGTGACACACAATAAAATAAGTATTTTCCTATATATTTTTGGCTCTGGGGCCACCTATGTATGGACGTTGAGCAATATCCTTTAGGGGGGCCTTTTTTCAGAGCCTGCGGTTCTGTTAGAGTTTAAAAAAAGTGCTCTTCATACATACAAAATGGTTTATATGTGCGTATGCGTCGTCGCACGCACATACTCACAAAATTATAGAAAGTTCAAGGCAGGCAGTAAAAATTTCTGTAAAAATCTAGACCCAAAATAGAATTCACTCATGTGTCCGAATTCGCGTCATTTAGAATAGAAATTCTAAAGATTCCATTTTTTTTTAAATAGAAAACAAAATTGATTGAATATTCGTGTTTCAGATATTCTATTCTTATGTCATTTCGAAATTCACTTAAAATATGCCACGAAAAGTTATTACCAAGGTTGAGAGATTGAGTAGATGCCGCTTTTTGAAGTGAAGTCGGACACCTGAGTGAATGAGGAAGTATTTAAAAAATAAAAATTAGTTCTTGAAATCATACTAGATGTCACTCGCGATTTTTGGATTTTGTTTATGATATTCATTCGAATTTTATTTCTGACGTAATAAATGTAAATTGAGTATTTTCGATTAATAAATATGACATCGTTTTGTGTTTCTTATAATATCTCACTTTCAAACTAATTTGAATTTATTTTAATTGTAAGTTTAAGTTGTTTATTATGTTACGTGTAAAGGAACGATGTTTGGTTGATACGTCAACATTAGAGATGAGCCAACTTATTGGTTGCTCGTAACTTTCGTTGAATTCAGGTTTGGAATGGAGAACAAAAATGATGATGAAGATAAAAGTGTCATTATACATCCACAAAACGAATGATATTAACATAAATATCAAAATCAATTCAGTCTAGGCTGTTACATAGTACTTGTGAAAGTCGAAAACTTTACCAATGGTTCGCAAAACTAAGGCGGGAGATCTCGTACTGACAAGAAACAGCAAGAAACTCAGCAAGGGCTGCTTTTTTAATTTCAACTAAACAACTCAACTATATTTTATTTGAGGGAACGTAACCACCTAACGCACACGATACCACCGCAGAGATTTTAAGAGACCATAACTACTCTAGGTACTTAGTAAATAATATATTTCAATAAAACGGATTTCTAGTGTAGGTTGTGTAGGAAGTCAAACTATTATTAACAATATTATTGTAAGAACCAAAAAGCACAAACCCACCGTACGAATTAACTTAACACATGGCTCGACGTCTGCCGTCGACATGTAAGATCAGTAGCAATAGTATAATAACTTTGTGATTTGAAATTTAAAGTTATAACCGTGCTGTTCGTTTAGAGCAGACGTTTCTTGTTGATTGCTGATTGTTTATTAAGATGATTTAATTATGAATATAAGATTTAATAACTTATAATAGTTTTATAATGTCTTAATTTCGAAAGCACAAGTTATTTGCACGTTACACTTTGCACAAACGTCATTTTAGCCAGCAGTTATGTTATTTTGTACGAATACATAGTATATTTGATACATATCGGGTAATTTTATAGATAATAAACGGATTTTTTTATAATAATTATCGTTTTTATGACTTTTGCTTTTGATTAATAAACCCTATTCATCCATTCACCATACATAATATAAAAATATTATTGAAACTTAATGTAGTTTTGTTGTTGAAAGTTCAACAAACAACTAATAGCAATAAAACTAACTTACCTAGTTGTTATTTTTTCAGAACTTTTGTTAAATATTAAAATGAAAAATTCCTAGACCTACAACGACATAAGTACCTATTTTATTTATAAAACTATTTAGCGGTTATATTATTGTATACCGTAGTTAGATGCCACTTTTAATTATATCACAGCATTCAATTGATTTCCATAAATTTAAAAAACCTCTGTGCTCACTTCCATTATGTTAGTTTCCATTTTCCTCTATACAAATAAAAAATAAATTTATTCAAAGATTACTTTCTATTAATCGAGTTACGTTTGCTTTACTCGAACTTGTTAAATTTCAACTCGATATTAATCCGAGTTATCAGATCCATAACAACACTAACAAATCTATTCTCTTTGGTTTAACGTCATGAATTGACGTTTAGATCCAACAATTTGTGCTGCCATCTAGTGACATAATTTTCTGTAGTTTCTTTATTTTTTTAAAATACTTCCTCATTCGAATTCGTATCCCAAGTTGGGATTCCCAACCAAAATTAGGGATACGCAAAATATTTTTACGTATCGATATCTAAAAAGTATCGAATCAAAAGTACCGGTACCTGAAGTTAGTGAATACTTCCTAGATATTTATATGTAACAGAACGGTATGTCGTTTCTGTTACTAAGTTCTCCAAAAAAAAGAAACTGACAAACGAAATAAAATATCGATTTACGCCTTTATCACTATATTATGGAAACCTGAAATACATTGTTTTGGAACTTGACTGGTAATGGTCAGAGATAGCTTATTTGAAATACTTGTATTTAAAATGATAATGTAAAAGCCTATTTTCTACATTATATTTAATACGTATTTCAAAAGTACATTTTCAGGCAATTTCGCTCGCGTAAATTGTAATCTATGACACATATGTTGAAATTTTGCAAATACAAAATAAGTCTAATTTTTTTAAATCTATACGAATAATATAATGTGAAAAGATTTTATTGTTTGTTTGTTTAAATAGACTCCAGACCTGCTGAACCGATTTTAATAATTCTTTTACTTACAAGGTCAAAAAGGTAAATCATACACGCACGGCTATATTTTTTCACAAAAGGAAGTCGCTGGAAAATATTTTAAAGAAAATGGTATTTTGATATTCAAAATACTTTTCTGACACAGGAAAAGCTATTTAGGTTAACTTAATACTGCTCGTTCAATTTTCGTTTGCTAGTAATACAGTTAACTGCAAGTCAGACTATATAAAAATGTAAAAGTATCAATACCCCGAGGTATCGATACCTTTTCAGCAATCTCTAACCAAATTGTCAAAAACCAAACAAACTTCTAATAACCGTCAATGTACACCTGCCGCTTTTTTGTTTATCGATCAACGAAAATTCATGAAATAAAATCATAATATATCGAGTTTTTATGAATTAAACAATGTAAAGTGTATTGTTTTGAACACATTCTGATTAATATCCAAATGCCTGAAGGTGTTTTCAGTGTTTGTCAAGGTAAAATATATACGCGTATTCTATATCGGTTCAAAACTTTGAAATCTTTCAACTTATACTTTATCATGATTACATTTACATAATTACTGCAGGAGTTCCTTTCTTTAGTCCATTGACAGCAATATTGTGTTTTGAGATTAATTTGTGTAGAAATTTATTCGTAAATTAATTTTGTTTCAGTTAACTATGAGCTCAATAGATAACAACCAATACGAAGTGAAACCAAATTCAAAGAGCAAAAGAAAGATTACTGCTCCTTGTCCTAACGTTTACCTGAATCCCGGATTAGATCTTTTGGCAAACGAGGATCCTATGTGCAACACAGCTATGGAAATAGTACCTGTGAAAAAACGCAAAAGATCCAAAAGTTGTGACGTGGCTGCATTCGAAAATGACTGTTTAGACACAGATATAAGTAAGGCTGCTGTGAATGAGTTCTTAGTGAGAGAGCTTGAGAATGTACGTAAAACTGTGCGACAATGTGAAACAGTTACCACAAAAAATAATTCTATACATATGGAGCGTTCATACAGTCATAATATTGGTAAGGAGAATATGGCTCCACATTCGACTGTACTCATTAATTCTAATTTAAAGAAATTATCTACAAGTAATCCATCTATTGCAGAAGACTCTGCTATTTTCTCATCTAATATAATATCAATGAATAATCCATGTGTTGAAGAAGAATCTACTATTCTGCAATCAAATACACCAAAATGCATGGAATTAGATAGATTTGAACCAAATGTCAGTGAAATTGAAATGGATTCTGGTATATCAGTTCTAGAACAGAAATCAATAAATGCAGTATCAAACAGTCCCAATAATGATTATGACTTTGATTCATCTGTAAACAATGTGAATATACATGAGACTGTTACCAACCAAGTTATAATCAATAATACAAGTAATATTAATCTCAGTTTCATTGATCGTCTAGCTTTAGATTCGCCAAATTTGTCTAGTCAATCCTTATATCTAGATGATGATTTGAATGAGAGCAACATTATGGAGATAAAAACCATCACAATTATAACTAAGAAGAAACGAATTTTTGATAAGAAAAAGAATACAAACCCATTTTTAGACCCGAATTTGGATAATGTTTACTCTGAAAATGTAGAAAACCCATTTCTCAATATGAATACGATAAAACCTGAGGTTGAATATAATGGTATTACTACAGAAAATCAATTTGAAGAACATATACCACAAGGAAATAATTTGATGCCTCGTAGATTATTTGTTGGTGATTCAAACAGCACCATTTCTACAGTTAATGAATCTATGAACCCAGAACACCATGAATATGAAAATATTGATAATTATAGAAGTGAAAGCCCTATTTATGAAAATATAAGTGGAGAGATTAATGAAACATACAACAAGCAAAGTAAAATCCTTGGGCATGATGTATCAAGATTTAATGCTGTTGATATTATGAACCTTAATAAATATACTGAAACAGATAGTTCAAATAACTCTAGCAATAGCAAAAAGGATTTGAAGCACACAATATTAAAAGCCAGTAATAAATTATCAAAAAAAGTTTTTAAAACATTGAAGAGAACTTTCAAGCATGAAAAAGGTGATAACAACGTCACCTTGAATCCTTATGAGGTTCCACGGAAACCTCCCAAACAGAAATCAGTTGCTAAAGATTCTGGTATTGAAAATCCAGCTCTTAATTTGGACAATTCAGATGATATTGAAATCGAGGAATTAGATGATGAAGAACATCAATATGAAACAGTGAAAACAATTCGAAACACACAACTCAACATGAATGTGACACCATTGAAGGAAAGGGATGCCGACAACGACTTATCACAAAGTAAACCATATACACCAGGGAAGAAAGTTCGTTTTGATTCAACGCTAAATCAAGAGAAAGTCATAACAGGCAACAGTTTTGATTATGATATACAAAGTCCTGGATTCGATTCTAAACTTGATAAATACCAAGATGAATTGGAGAATTGTATCAATGAAAGAAAGTTTATAAAGCAAAATATGTGACAACACTTATCCAAAATTGCAGATTAACAAAAATATTTATATTGATAGGATTCAGTGTAATCAGATTTTCTTTAATTTTGATTAAAGAAAATTAAGTGAGGCTTTCAATTATTTTTTTCTTTATTCTTTAATTTTTATATGAAATAGACTAGAATAAGTATTATTAGTCATTACATTAATTCCAAAGTTTAAATCAAAGATAATATCATTTGTGTTTGTTTAGTGTTAAGTTTTATAATAATTAGTTTTTTATAATGCCGAAGAATATTGCCTAGATAAGCTATCCTTGTAAGTCTTAATTACCCAAGTAATTTGCAGTATTTGTATATTCTGACGAAATAGCATATAAATTAGGATGCTGGATTATCATGTAACAGACATCCAATCCATAATGAATTTAGATACTATGGTATAATCTAATTTAATTATTTATATTTTTACAAATTATTATTGGATATACTTTTTTTTTAATAAATATGTTTCATGATGAAAATATGTTTTAAATACGTTTTTTTTTATTTATTGATGAAATCACTTAGTGCAGCAAAAACCAGATAGGTATGTCCGTGCACTATTTTACTTACATATTTATATTGGCAAGTTTAATACTTGCCAATATAAATAAATATGTATCACAGTTTGAATATAGATTAGTTAGAACTATGCGTATAAAAATTTGTGTCTGCACAATTAGAAAGTTCAATAAAAATACTTAAATATTCTCCGTTATTAACCTATCTAAGTAAAAAATAATAAAACAATTGGGTAAATCTGTAAATCAGCTTACACCACGCATACATAAACAACCTCATCTGTTGTTTGATTTGTACAGAATGTTTTATATACCATTGTTTATAGAACACCTGTATAAATCACACAACTGATTATATATCAAATCAAAATAAGGGTTATATTTAAGGGTCTAATTTGGATATACAATATTTTTTAAATATATTTTTTGGTTAATTTTATTTATATTTTGTATTAGATTAGAATGAAGTTTATTGATAAGTTTGGAATTATATATTTAATTGTTCTTTTCCCATGCACATTATTATAAAAAGACATATATTTTTTTTTACTGACACTTCTAATGCCTTTACTATAATTTATAGGTTTTTTTTTAAACAGTATTAAAGTAATTTTTGATCAATATATTTCAACTAATTTTGTCGTAGACGGGAATAATTTTGCAGTAAAGAAAAATCATCTGGTAGTTATTTTTAAACTGATTTCTAATGAGGAAGTATTTAAAAAAAAATAGTCATACTTGATTTCTCCATGACAACCTTTCATGGTTTTCTTTTAAGTTTAAAAGTAAATTAGTTTTCAAAACTCAATATACAAATCATATTTGTATTGATATCTAAGTTGCGGTCTTTTCAAATTTCAGTTTTTTAATATGTTAGTTAAAAGGAACGGAAATGACTGTCTTTGATCCATTCGTTTCCTGCAAAAATCAACTTTTGCTAGAGTTGCCATGTAGTGGAGGAGCTTTTTAGTGCTTTCGTTTTTTTTAAATACTTCCTCATTTTGCCTGGGACAATGCTTTAGGAATACGTAATTGTAAAGTATAGATTTGATTTAAGTTACTTTTGTATGCATGTACGTCTTTGATCCAGACGTACGTCGTGAACTACTCAAACCACACGAAATAACTGTTTCGATAAGTGCCTTGTATAGTGTCAACAGGATAGGGTAAGGGACTTCAAACTTCTGTGTTGATAATTTTGCAAGTATTGCCCGTAGTTTTTCATATATGCGGATAGTTTGTTCATTCAATTTTCACTCCCAAGTACATATGTTCACTAACAACCTCTAGAGCCTACAAGCACATCCCAAAACCTCCCTATTAGAATGTAGACAGCCGTGGCTGTGAGCTATAAGTCGGTATAATGAATTTTTTGTTTTTATTTGTACTTTTGTACGTTAATTTAGTCCTTGATCATGAGACCATTTTGCAAGGTTTGTATAGTCAGTCTGGAGTTTGGCAGGAGCTGTGACAACATTATGATCAGCAGCGAGTAGACAAGTATCATAGGCAAATTGATAGATTTCGCAAGACTTAATTGTGTTGACTACTTACGCGTGCCAGTCGTTACTTGTATTTTATTACTTATTTCGGTACCTACACATGATAGGGTCTATCATATAAGTAATCTTTGCACCATGCTAGTCCTCTGATAACGTTTTCGTCCAGGCTTTTAAGAAGTCGATCATGCTGGTGTCAAATGCTTTAAAGTAGTCAACGAATGCAACCAAAACGTGTAGCTTTCTATATGTTATTGACTGAGTCAGTAAAGTCACTTAATAGTTGAGCAGTATTTTTCCGGGGTTGAAATCCATACTGTTTATTTGTAATGATACAGTTTATACTACAAAAATAAATGTATTTATTGGATGATATATTTTTCAACAATCTTGTCAATGGTAGTAAGTATTGTAATTGGCATATAGTTTCGTAGTTTCTGTGGCAACCGTTTACATAAATTGGTCTAATAATTCCAACTGAGTTTTTCTGGATACTTACCTTTGTCTATATACGAGTTAATAAGCCTCTTTATCATTTAAGCCTTTTATGATTATTGACACATCACTTGATGTTACTTTAATCATGCGCATATTTTTGTGATTACGGTAAGTAGATTTATCCATCAGAAACGCATAGACATAAATTCATTAAATAAGTGATGATGACTAAACAAAATTTTTATCTTTCTTTCGAATTTGTCATTATTCATTTTTGTTATACGAGTGGGAGTTTATTATACATTATAATTTTATTATACATGCCTTGTTTTTGTACCTTTACCAATCGTATCTATCTTTGTCAATTCGTTTAGGCATAAAAGCATAAAATACACACAGAAAGAGGTACATCACTACATAGTATAAACAAAGGGCTTTCTCTGACCTTTTATCCCTATGTATGCTTAAATCTTTAAAAATACGCATCGGATTTTGATGCGGTTTTTTTAATAGATAGGATGATTTAAAAGGAAGGTTTTTATTATAATACAAGATCACACGGGCGAAGCCGATGGCGGAAAGCTAGTTTATAATATTAGTAGAGATAAAAATATGTGCTATTTATATAGATAATAGTTATGAAGAGTTCGATGGTACAAAACTTTTAATAGACAGAATCATTCTAGCTATTTAACTAGATAGGTATTTAATGGACTCTCATTGGTACGAATAAAAATCTGTCGAAGCGTTTATTATCCATGACTTCATAAATATTAATTTAAGTTGATTTTATATGTCAAATAAAGTTTATATCAACGGAGCTGTTAACAATTTATTGTATTTAGTAGAGCGCAAATAATTAATTTCAAAAGTAAAAGCAAATTTTAGTATTTGCTTTGGAGAACAATGCTCTTTGTTATAACTGGTTAGTTATTTACAATGACTCATGATATAAAACTCAGAAGATGTTAAATAATTCAAGTAAATAGGGAGTAATTCAAGTCAATGTAGGCGGGAGGCAAAAGTAACGTTTTAATATTTTAATTAAACGGCAAATAAATCACATTGATTTTTCTACAAAACCCATTATTTTAAAGGTTGTAGCAATAGTGCTAATCCTGCCGTGTCCTGAATTTTCTCAGGGTAAAAAAACACAAATTTAAAACATATCTTTATACGATTAGCATTTGTCGTAAGTCTGTATACAACCTGCGTACAATGGAGTTTTGTAGTTTTTATTTCATTTACTATGCTGAAAACTTTTTCGCATTCAACATTCGAGTGTGGCAGAGATAAAATTGCCAACATAAACTCGGGCAAATACTACTTAAAATAGGAATTCCCTGAAGCTAGTCTGGTATATAAAGCAAAGCCCCTCATCTCTTACCAACAAAAGCAGAAAGTTCGGTATTTATTCACCACAATTTGCCACTTGTTAATTTTGAGTATTAAACTAATTAATAAATGTATGTAAAGTGGTATAATTTTCCTTGTGTTAAATAATGAGATTTATAATGAGTAATATCCAGTATCCGGCCGGATATTAGCACCCTATTCGGTATATGGCCGGATAGTAAAAATAAGGCCGGTAAGGCCCGGAGATACCAGATAGTAACTAGATATCCGTTTATCTCTAGTTATCAGTTCGATTAGACCATATAAATGTTTTACTAAAAATAATGTTTTTTATTTTTTCAAATAATACAATTGGCTTCAAAAACGGGAGAAATGATAGTACTCCCCAAATAAGGCCGGATTTATCATCATCGTCAGCCCTTTTACGTCCCCACTGTCCCTCCACCCTCCACGCTGGCTCAAAGCGGATTGGAGGGTATTAATGCATCCCGTAACTGATCCTTGCGATGGTTGCTTAACAATAACGACTTATTTATTCACTACGCCATCGAGCCAGTCTGAGTAGCTCGGTGGTCGGATTTATATCAGCATATTTCTGCAGTACCTATGATTTTTATTTTCTTTTATTTCATTTAGGTTTAACTATGAAAACATGTCCATCCCAACGTAACCTCCGTAGTTATTATCTGTACCCAAGGTAACATGGCACAGCCTGTCTGTCTGTCACCGACATAAAGCTAAAATCCTTTTGTTAACATTAATTTATTTACAACTTCAGTCTATTATTTTTCTTTCGCTTTATGGTAGATAAGCAGTTAATATTAGCGTAAGGATTGAGAGGCTGTGTAAATAAGTAATAATACTAGTACACATAATAACATACCCATTACAAAATAAAATGCGCTTTATCTATTTCAATACCATAAACTCGAAACTCTGGTTTCATAAGTAATAGCTAGAGTAATCTCGAGAAAATTTTATGACAACGAGGTGTATTACACATTATAGGTATCTATCGTGTTATTAACTTCCTCGATAAATATTACTATATGTATTAAAAAGTTAAGCCCTTTTTTAACCTACTTTAAAAATATCCTACAAAATAATAAGCTTATTTCTGTGTCTCAATTTTATTGTTTAAAGATATGAAGCCACAGTTTGCTTTAGTGTTAATATTTAGGAATAATGTTGGTCAAAATCAAAATAAACTTTATAAATACTTATTTATAAATAGTAAGTAAATACTTATTTGTTGAATATACATTGTAGTTATACATTTGTCGACAATACGTTCTTATATCACATTAAAGGATCATCAGGGTCGGATTGTAATTAGGTATATGTGACTCGTAGTTGATAAGTTACTCCGCCATATTTTTTAGAGTTAGTAAATTTAATTGCAATATCATTTCTACCGTAGACTTGCCAAGCGATGGCAAAATTTATCAACTTTCTCAAGTGATTTTAGTGATTTATTATAGTTAATCAATTTCGCATTCACAATGCTATACTGAAAATATTCTTAAGAATATTTTTTAGCTTAAAACATCCACTTCTCACATCCCATCCCAGGGTGTCAGGGACCATGTGAATTTTATAAGCGTTTTTCATTTAGAAATTGTGAATTTGCATAAGAATTCTAATGATAATTTTACCTTTTCCTCGGATGTCAGACCCTATGTGATATTAGAGCAGCTTTATAATACCTACATATAAACCTAGTAATGAATATATATTTTATATTATCACTGACTGCTTTGTTATCATAAGTATAATATAATATTAATAAATTGACCAATATTCCGAATGCTTATCGTCTGTACATCGCGAATCGGATCAAACTGCGCTCTACAATACTTTTTACAATGGGTAATATAATTTTCACGGAATGCATCATTCATGAAAGTAATGTATAATATTGTTAAATATTTAAACCTTCTTTATCACACTGATGCTTAGTTGTCAAACCATTAGAAATAATGTCTTAATCCATCACTGGTGGCACGTGGTCGTATGCAGTCGATTATCCAATGATTGCAATTGCATTCAAGGTTATCCTAGCCACAAGCTAAAGGTTAAACGCATTAATAGGTTAACAGATGTACCTATTTACATTTACCTTTTATAATAGATGATAATGGGTTGCATAGTCGGATAGGATCGATCGTATTAAAAAGCACATTTACAATATGACATACATTGAACATATTATCTTGAGACAATCAGTCAGTTGCACTAACGTCCATTAAATTTGTCATTAGTTTAATAAGACAACCCATACAAATTTGACATTCATTAGAGTTTAAAGGCGTCATAAACTTTAATGGACGTTTCTGCATATGACTAACAAAATACAGACTGAATAAAAAATATTCTCTCAAGCTACTCCGTACTTCGGAAGGCACGTTAAGCCGTTAGTCCCGACTGAAGTTTCAGTCGTGAATACCATCTAATACGTATTTACCCAGCATGGAGGGTCATGGCCCATCCTCCTTAACCATCTATAAGGAGAGCAGTGGGGACTTAAAAGGCCTGACTATACATTACTCAAGTTCAAATATAGGTAGCTAAAGTCCTCGTATCGTGAAGTTACTGAAAAATAGGAAGTACCACAACTTCCAGTACCTATAAAATATAGAAAAGTTCATTTTTTATTTCAATTC